ATGGAACAGCAGGTCCAGACCGGGACTGAATGCAGCATCTGATGCTGATGGAGGACAGACTGCAGGGAATAAAGGTCTGAGGAGGTTTTGTTGCTGGGTTTGGCTCCTGGCAGTTAACAGCTCAATGCATCAAACTCAGATCAAACTGTCAAACAGTGCTGATCAGATATTGATCCAGATTCTGTTGTTGACTATTTCTCTCCTCAAATCTGTTAACAAACACATTTTACTGTTTATCTGGAATATCAGATCCTGTGTGAGCAGGAGAGCAGCCAATGAGAGCAGCTCAACTCGCTGAACGTGACCTCCGCTGACTGCGTTTTACTGTCATGGCGGCGACTAAAACAAACTGGAGGCTTCAAAGCAGTTCTCCACAAACCGATAAGTACCCTCATGATAGGTTCACACTTGGTCACGGTCTCTGGGAATGACTCTGAATACTGACTCGTGATGTGACAGGTTATCTGTGGTTGGGTCAGACTGTAATGAGCTCTGCAGCCTTTAGGGGGCGCTGACAGACCTAGCCAGTGCTCTCCTGTAGTTTTTCCAAAACCATCTCTGTACGCCGACCAGCCTCGGAAAAAGTTCACAGAGCCGTCCTCCCTCCTCTGGATCACCTGCACACACATTGAGAGGGTTAAATTGTTTATATGTTGCTAAGCTAATTAGCATTGTTGGCACTGTAACCATGGATACTGAGATAGCTCGCTGTTAATCAACAGGCTACAGTTGATGTGATGACCAGCAGAGGGCAGTGTCACTCACCGTCCAGCCTCCTCCGTCAGTGGTCATATCACAGTACGCCATGAAGCCATCGGGGTCGTGAGCCGGGAACACCGAGTAAACGCCATCCTGAGAGACGCCGGACGCCATGACATCACTACAGTCCCTGGGTCTGCCAGCTTAGGGCGAGAGAGAGAGAGAGAGAGAGAGAGAGAGAGAGTCAGGTGGATTCAGGTAGATTCAGGTGCAGTTAGGTGAGTCCTGAACCATCCCTTAGTTATGCTGCTATAGGCCTAGACTATCGGGGGATTTCCCATGGTGCACTGAGCTCCTCTCTTCCTCTCTCTTTCTGCACTCATTCATGTTCCATGTGGATTAAGGTGCAGACAGTTGGATTTAAAAGGGGAGGCCGGTGCAGTCAGGTGCAGTTAGGTGGATTTAGGTGCAGTTAGGTGCAGTCATGTGGATTCCGGTGGATTCCGGAGCAGTAATAATAATAATAATAATAATAATAATAATAATAATAATAAATGCTTTATTTTTGTATAGGGACAGTGCACATTAATGACCATCGATATTAAAACATCTCTGTAAACATGCCAGATTATAGCAAAACTGCTAATTTGCATCCGTAGTCCCTAAAAAATAAATAGAAAAAATACAAATAGAAGAGACAGCAAATAAATAGATAAAATACAAATAGAAGAGACAACATACACAATACATTACACAATCATAAAAATACCAGACTCAGACAGGATATGATAATGTATTAAAAAGTAATGTTTAGTTGCAGTAGTTAGCACTTTTGGTTTGATTTGAGCCATTGTTTTAGTTGTCCTTTAAAAGAAGAGTATGCGGGGCATTCCCTTATTGTGGAGGGAAGACTATTCCAAATGCCCCCCCCCCCAACAGACAACATGTTCCTCCCATACGTGGTGCGCCTGTGGGGAATCTCACAGTCTCCTCTATCACAAGCCCTGGTGCTCATACCTCCCAGAGTCCCTTTCCTTATGAATTCATTCAGCGGTGGTGGAGCAAGACCATGGAGACTATAAAACAGGCAAATCTAAAAGTTTTAAAATTATGGAAACTTAAAAAATTTTTTTTTTTAGGGGTTTTTGAAAAATAGGGGGAAAAATTTTTTTTAAATAAAATTTTTAAGGTTTTTTTTTATAAAATTTTTCGAGTGCTGTTGTACATGCCAGTGACCAGCTCGATAAGCAGTAGTCTGTATGTGAGAAGATCATACAGCAGTGCCGGCCCGTGGCATAGGCAGTATAGGCAAATGCTAAGGGCGCCGTCCATCTAGGGGGCGTCACGATGGGGGAAGAAAAGAAAAAAAAAGGTGCAACTTTCAATATTTTTATATATTATATATATAATATTTTCTTAGTATGAGAAAAGCCCACATTAATTTAACTGCATAGCAAAGCCTATTAAATAATAATAAGACTTTATTAAGCCCCCCCCCTCCTCCTCTACCTGCTCTCTGAGAGATGGTTGAGTTTTCTGACGTCACCCCAGAAACCATTAACAATGTCAAAACGACAAAAACTTTCCGGTGCCCAGAGAAGGAAAGAAAGAAGAGGAAAAACGTGACAAAGATAGAGGTAGAGTAAAGATAATGTCATGAAATGTCTGTTGCAGAACGATAGTAACCTTTAGCCTAACACGGTTTGTTAATCAATAAATAGCGTTAGCTCGTTTTAACGTCAGTTCATGTTATGGAGGGGCCTATAATATATATAATACTCCCTCCTTCTATTTCTCAGGGACATTTGTAAAGATTAGATCTATTCAGCAGCTGTTAACATTATTTGTATTTATTATTGGTTAGCTAACGTTTGCTCTGCTTGTAACAGTCAGTCAGATGCTGTTCCTTTCACACACCTTTATATATTAGAGTTGGAAGCCTTGTTGTTTGTTGTGTTACAGTTCAGTATGTTCTAAAGTGTGTTTATAGTGTTACACTTTACATCCATGTTTACAGTTTTTATTTTGTAGGTAGTTCAATTTTATACTTTGTGTGGGCTATTTCTATTACATTTCTTGTATTATTTATTTCTAATTTCTTATTTTCTTGTTAACTGTTGTGATTTAGCAACTTGTTTCTCTAGAAATAAAATAAAATGTCAAAGACAAAGTTATTCAGTTTCTTGCGTGAGTATATGTATGTATATAACTGGCAGTGGAATTTACTGCGATGCAAGGGGGGCGCCACCTAAAATCTTAAACCTAAAAAATTCAGGTGCAGTCATATGGATTCAGGTGCAGTCATATGGATTCAGGTGCAGTCAGGTGCAGTCAGGTGGATTCAGGTGCAGTCAGGTGGATTCAGGTGCAGTCAGGTAGATTCAGGTGGAGTCAGGTAGATTCAGGTGCAGTCAGGTGGATTCAGGTGGATTCAGGTGCAGTCAGGTGGATTCAGGTGGATTCAGGTGGATTCAGGTGCAGTCAGGTGGATTCAGGTGCAGTCAGGTGCAGTCAGGTGGATTCAGGTGGATTCAGGTAGATTCAGGTGCAGTCAGGTGGATTCAGGTGGATTCAGGTGGATTCAGGTGCAGTCAGGTGGATTCAGGTGGATTCTGGTGCAGTCAGGTAGATTCAGGTGGATTCAGGTGCAGTGCATTTTTACCTCTGTACTTGTTGTCTCTCTGCAGGTCACTGTTGAGTCTCCTCAGACTCTCTGTCTCCCTCTGCAGGCTGAGCAGAGAATCACTGAAACCTGCAGACAACTTCAACACACCTGAGTGACTGTCAGACAACACCTGTACAGGTAAACCAGGGAGAAAGTGCCAGAATGATTTATATATATATAATGATAATATTATGATGTAATAATGATGGTGATATAATCTCACCTGTATGATGATGTAATAATCTCACCTGTATAATGATGTATGATGATGTAATAATCTCACCTGTATAATGATGTATGATGATGTAATAATCTCACCTGTATGATGATATATGATGATGTAATAATCTCACCTGTATGATGATGTAATAATCTCACCTGTATGATGGTGATATAATCTCACCTGTATGATGATGTATGATGATGTAATAATCTCACCTGTATGATGATGTATGATGATGTAATAATCTCACCTGTATGATGATGTATGATGATGTAATAATCTCACCTGTATGATGGTGATATAATCTCACCTGTATGATGATGTATGATGATGTAATAATCTCACCTGTATGATGATGTAATAATCTACCTGTATGATGGTGATATAATCTCACCTGTATGATGATGTATGATGATGTAATAATCTCACCTGTATGATGATGTAATAATCTCACCTGTATGATGATGTATGATGATGTAATAATCTCAACTGTATGATGGTGATATAATCTCACCTGTATGATGATGTATGATGATGTAATAATCTCACCTGTATGATGATGTATGATGATGTAATAATCTCACCTGTATGATGGTGATATAATCTCACCTGTATGATGATGTATGATGATGTAATAATCTCACCTGTATGATGATGTATGATGATGTAATAATCTCACCTGTATGATGGTGATATAATCTCACCTGTATGATGATGTATGATGATGTAATAATCTCACCTGTATGATGGTGATATAATCTCACCTGTATGATGATGTATGATGATGTAATAATCTCACCTGTATGATGATGTAATAATCTCACCTGTATGATGATGTATGATGATGTAATAATCTCACCTGTATGATGGTGATATAATCACACCTGTATGATGATGTATGATGATGTAATAATCTCACCTGTATGATGGTGTATAATTCACCTGTATGATGATGTAATAATCTCACCTGTATGATGGTGATATAATCACACCTGTATGATGATGTATGATGATGTAATAATCTCACCTGTATGATGATGTATGATGATGTAATAATCTCACCTGTATGATGGTGATATAATCTCACCTGTATGATGATGTATGATGATGTAATAATCTCACCTGTATGATGGTGATATAATCTCACCTGTATGATGATGATATAATCTCACCTGTATGATGTGGCTCTGCTCGCTCTGCAGTGCATCCAGTCGTTGGTCCAGAACACTTTGACCTCTCTTCAGCGAATCAGCTTCCAGCCTCAGGTTGTGGGTGTGGCCTGATAACACCTTGAGCTCCTCAGCCAGCTTCTGGACCAACCCTGACTCCTGCCAGTCGTCTGCGTTGTGATTGGACAGCGCTCGCAGCAGAGAGCTCTGCAGCGCCTCCCAGCGCAGGAAGTTCTCGCTGTAGTCGGGACAGTTGGGGTCCAGGAAGATGCTGATTGGCTCTCCGTCTGTGACACGAGACACCGACACCAGAGCACCAGACTCTCTGGGATTGGTCGAGATCACAGGTGAGGAGGAGGAAACTCCGCCCCTGTAACTATGACAACAGTGGCAGACATACAGACAGGTGGGTCAGACAGAAAGACAAGTGGCTTAGACAGATACGTAGGACAGACAGTTGTGTTTACCTGCTGATGAAGGGCAGAGGATACTGGTTCAGGTACAGGATGGTGACTGTTGCTGTGCTGATGGCTGTTATGATGGCCAACACGAGGACGGACCACAACAGGAAGCTGCAACATCTCTGAACACACACACACACACATAACATAACATAATATAATATAATATAATATAATATAATGTAATGTAATATAATATAACATAATGTAATTTAATATAATGTAATATAATGTATATAATATAATACAATATAATGTAATGTAATATAATATAATATAATATAATGTAATATAATATAATATAATATAATATAATATAACATAATGTAATATAATATAATATAATACAATACAATACAATACAATGTAATGTAATATAGCATAATATAATATAATATAACGTGATATAATATAATATAATGTAATATAATTTAACGTAATACAATATAATATAATATAACGTAATACAATATAATATAATATAATGTAATATAATATAATATAATTTCATATAATATAATATAACATAATTTCATATAATATAATATAATATAATATAATGTAATTTAATATAATATAATATAATATAACATAATGTAATATAATATAATACAATACAATACAATGTAATGTAATATAGTATAATATAAAATAATGTAATGTGATATCATTGAATATAATATAATATAATATAACGTGATATAATATAATATAATGTAATATAATATAACGTAATACAATATAATATAATATAATTTCATATAATATAATATAACGTAATTTCATATAATATGATATAATATAATTTAATATAATATAATATAACGTAATTAAATATAACTTAATTTAATATAATATAATATAATGTATTATATTTGGGGCACTACTTGGGGCAGTAGCGTCCAATGCCCCACTAGGTGGCCACTTTATCCCAACCATCAGTGTGATTAACAAGACGCTTTGTACAGTAGTTTCCCATGATCCCTTGCAAAGGCAGCTCCTGGACAGATGAATCTGTTGTGTGTCTGAAGGAACCACACTGCTAACGTTAGAGAGGCTAACACCGTTAGCTTTCTCAACCACTGCTCACTAATACATCTGTGAGAGAAATGTGTGGGGTAGTTGCTCAGGGAAAGGGCATTATGGGTATTATGTCCACACTGAGGGCCTCCAGATTCTGAGTGTGGGTTCTTGTGGAGAACGTCCTCTGTGCTGCTTAATCTGAAGATCCTCAGTCAGTGACAGCTGCTGCAGATTACAGACACTTTGATCTGACAGTTTAACTCCAGATTAACACCAATGAACTATCTGTGGGTCTGTCTGTCTGTCTGTCTGACTGTCTGTCTGTCGGTCTGTCACTGACTGTCACTGTCTGTCTGACTGTCTGTCTGTCGGTCTGTCACTGACTGTCACTGTGTCTGACTGTCTGTCTGTCGGTCTGTCACTGACTGTCACTGTCTGTCTGACTGTCTGTCTGTCGGTCTGTCACTGACTGTCACTGCCTGTCTGACTGTGTCACTGTCTGTCTGACTGTCTGTCTGTCTGACTGTGTCAGTGACTGTGTCACTGTCTCTGTCTGACTGTCTATCTGACTGTGTCACTGTCTGTCTGTCTGTCTGTCTGTCGGTCTGTCACTGACTGTCACTGTCTGTCTGACTGTGTCACTGTCTGTCTGACTGTCTGTCTGTCGGTCCGTCACTGACTGTCACTGTCTGTCTGACTGTGTCACTGTCTGTCTGACTGTCTATCTGACTGTGTCACTGTCTGTCTGACTGTCTGTTGGTCTGTCACTGACTGTCACTGTCTGTCTGACTGTCTGTCTGTAGGTCTGTCACTGACTGTCACTGTCTGTCTGACTGTGTCACTGTCTGTCTGACTGTCTGTCTGTAGGTCTGTCACTGACTGTCACTGTCTGTCTGACTGTCTATCTGACTGTGTCACTGTCTGTCTGACTGTCTGTCTGTGACGTGTCAGTACGTGTCACTGTCTGACTGTCTGACTGTCTATCTGACTGTGTCACTGTCTGTCTGACTGTCTGTCTGTAGGTCTGTCACTGACTGTCACTGTCTGTCTGACTGTCTATCTGACTGTGTCACTGTCTGTCTGACTGTCTGTCTGTCTGACTGTGTCAGTAACTGTGTCACTGTCTGTCTGTCTGACTGTCTATCTGACTGTGTCACTGTCTGTCTGACTGTCTGTCTGTCTGACTGTGTCAGTGACTGTGTCACTGTCTGTCTGTCTGACTGTCTATCTGACTGTGTCACTGTCTGTCTGACTGTCTGTCTGTCTGACTGTCTGTCTGTCTGACTGTGTCAGTGACTGTGTCACTGTCTGTCTGACTGTCTGTCTGTCTGACTGTCTATCTGACTGTGTCACTGTCTGTCTGACTGTCTGTCTGTCTGACTGTGGACTGTGTCAGTGACTGTGTCACTGTCTGTCTGACTGTCTGTCTGTCTGACTGTGTCAGTGACTGTGTCAGTGACTGTGTCACTGTCTGTCTGACTGTCTGTCTGTCTGACTGTGTCAGTGACTGTGTCAGTGACTGTCTGTCTCAGTGTCTGTCTAAACTGACTCACATGAGCTAGAATGCTAACAGCTGGCACAGCTGGTACCTTGTTTGGCCGTTTGCTGTCGAGCTCGGAGCTGCTGTTGTTCATGATGGTCCAGCTGTCGTTCAACATCATCCTGAAACAAACATCATGTTCCTTCATTTATACACTGTGAATATTTACCCAAAATCCTTCACATCTGTCAATCACTGAATCTCTGGTTTCACATGGGGCCTAGTCAAGGACGAGGTCTAAAGAACCACCTCTAGACTCCTCTAGAACTTTCTGGAAGAACCTCCCTGTGGATCCTCCCCGTAGAACCTCTCTGTGGAACCTCCCTGTGGAACCTCCCTGTAGAACCTCCCTGTGGAACCTCCCTGTGGAACCTCCCTGTAGAACCTCCCTGTGGAACCTCCCAGTGGATCCTCCCTCCCTCTAGAACCTCCCTGTGAATCCTCTCTGTAGAAACTCCCTGTAAAACCTCCCTGTGGATCCTCTCCGTAGAACCTCCCTGTGGAACCTCCCTGTAGAACCTCCCTGTGGAACCTCCCAGTGGATCCTCCCTCCCTGTAGAACCTCCCTGTGAATCTTCCCTGTAGAAACTCCCCGTAGAACCTCCATGTGGAACCTCCCTGTAGAACCCCTCTTTATTTATTCTTTGCTCTACCCCTATTAGGGCTCAATAAAGGAACATCTTATTTTATATATCTGCATGATCTGCCTTCACTATTACTAACAACTGCCGTCACACTCAGCGGTCACATGACAGTGCTCGTTAACTTGGTAAGTGAACCCAAACTCGTTGGTACAGACTCGATAAAGACTTGTTAAGACCTGTTGATGCAACAAAGTTGAGCAGCTGCTGTGGAAAATCTCAGCGTCTGTCTCTGTCACATTCACTTTAGTCTGACTGATAATCACTGTAACCAGTTTTTGACCTCAGCAACAGGTTGGAAACAGAACAGATCTGAGATCAGCAGGATAATTTAATTTGACTGCTGTTATTGAAAGAGCCACATTAACCAGTTCACTGCTGAATGAACACATTAAATGTCTTCAATGGACCAATGAAGGAAAATAATTGATTCTTTGGAAACAGCAGATCCATTTATCATTTATCAGATCTGTTCAAGAGCTTTCAGTCTATGTTACTGCACACATGCATATAACACTGTGTATATACTATATATAAACACTGTGTATATACTATATATATAAACACTGTGTATGTACTATACATATAAACACTGTGTATGTACTATACATATAAACACTGTGTATATACTATATATATAAACACTGTGTATGTACTATATATATAAACACTGTGTATATACTATATATATAAACACTGTGTATATACTATATATAAACACTGTGTATGTACTATATATATAAACACTGTGTATATACTATATATATAAACACTGTGTATGTACTATATATATAAACACTGTGTATGTACTATATATATAAACACTGTGTATGTACTTATATATAAACACTGTGTATGTACTATATATATAAACTTTTATATATAAACACTGTGTATGTACTATATATATAAACACTGTGTATGTACTATATATATAAACACTGTGTATATACTATATATATTAACACTGTGTATATATTATATATATATTAACACTGTGTATAAACTATATATATATAAACGCTATACAAATAAAATTGAATTAATTGAATTGTATATATACTATTGCACATATAACGCTAACAAATCACTGACGTATTGATCACTGATAATACAGAATCAATAAAGTTACCTGGCTGTATTCAGGCTTCAGATGATGTTCAAAAAAATCCTGGATGAAACTTTTATCTGTTTAAAGACGCAGCACGAGGTCACATTGCCGTGGAAACAGACACATCCTCAGAGAGAGAGAGAAACCATCTGCTGTGAGCAGGGCGAGACAGAGAGAGAGACAGAGAGAGAGAGAGAGACACCACCTGCTGTGAGCGGGGCAAGAGAAAGAGAGAGAGAGAGAGAGAGAGAGCCAGAGAGAGAGAGAGACAGAGAGAGAGAGAGACAGAGAGAGAGAGAGAGACAGAGAGAGAGAGAGAGAGAGAGAGACCGTCTGCTGTGAGCGGGGCAAGAGAGAGAGAGATAGATAGAGAAAGAGAGAGAGACCTGGGCGCTGACAGTAAACACAGCAAAGACTAAGATAATGATCTTTCAGAAACAATACAGAAATCAGGTTACACACAATTTCTATTTAGACACCACTAAATTACAACATACAAAAAACTACACTTACCTTGGCCTCAACATTACATACACAGGAAACCTCAACATGGCTGTGAAAGATCTGAGGGACAAAGCAAGGAGAGCTTTCTATGCAATAAAGAGAAACATTAAAATCTATATTCCAATCCAAATCTGGCTTAAAATTTTCCAATTTGTACTAGAACCAATAATTCTATATGGCAGCGAAATTTGGGGACCAAAACTAAATAATGAATTTGACAAATGGGACAAAACAATCATAGAATCTTTCCACACTGAGTTCTGTAAGAGCATCCTGCAGGTGCAGAGAAAAACACCAAATAATCTGTGCAGAGCAGAACTCGACCAATACCCCCTCCTACTAAAAATACAGAAAAGATCAATTCAATTTTACAATCACTTAAAATCAGTTAACCCCCAGACATACCATCACAAAGCCCTAACATACCAGGAGCTGAAACCAGAGAAGAGTCCCCTCAGCCAGCTGGTCCTGAGGCTCTCTGCAGTAACATGTCCCCAACAGCCTCAGGACAGCAACACCAACTCAATCAGACCAAACCAAATTTCAACAAGCAAAAAGAAAAATATATTGAATACTGGAAAGAAACGACCAAATCACAAAGTAAATTACAATGTTATCTGACCCTAAAAAGAGAATTCACACTGGCAAATTACCTGAGCACAATAAAATGTCCTAAATTAAGAACAATGTTGACAATGTACAGACTGAGTGAACACAGTCTGGCCATAGAAACGGGTCGCCACAGACAGAACTGGCTACCAGAAGAGGAGAGACTCTGCTCCCAGTGTGACAGAGGACAGGTAGAGACAGAGCTGCACTTTCTAACCTCATGCCCTAAATTCAAAACTTTAAGAGAAAAACAATTCGCAAACATTTCCCAAATATTCCCCGAATTCGAATTATTATCAGACACACAGAAACTCCCCTATTTACTGGGAGAAATGCCCAAAAGTCAAATTATTGCAGCAAAATATGTCTCCTCATTCCACGAACTGAGGACAACCAGTGGAAACTCAGATAAATGTATAAAATAATTGATTGTTTTAGTTGGTGTTGTTCTTTTTTATATATAAATACACACACACACACACACACACACACGTTTACAGTTTTATCTATGTATTTTATTTTAATTTTAATATATTTTAATATTATATATATTATATATTATATTTAATAATTTGTTATTACTGTTATATTGACAGCAGACTGCTTGTTTTAACTGTAGTTACTTTACTACTGTTTTAATGACATTTTTAGTTGACACAAACTGACTGATTGATTGATTGTAATTAATTACTTATTGACTGAGATTGATTGATTGTGACTGTGATTGTGATTGAGCCAATCATAGTTACAGTATTACCAACAGTATAGATTATAATTAATTTATTGTAAATATTGTTTTCCTTTATGGTTATTATTATTATTTTTAATTCCAAACACTTGCGTTGGCAATATGTACAGAGTTACATCATGCCAATAAAGCCATTTGAATTGAATTGAATTGATAGAAAGAGAGAGAGACAGAGACAGAGAGAAAGAGAGAGAGAGAGAGACAGAGACAGAGACAGAGAGAGTAGTATATGTATATATGTTTATATGTATGTATATGTGTGTGTAAAGATGTGTATATTTGTGTGTGTGTATATGTGTGTATATATGTGTATATGTGTATATATGTATGTATATATGTATATTCAAGATTCAAGATTCAAGAACTTTATTTGCGGTTTGTGCTTGCACACATAGGAACGGTTGTTTGTTCAGAGAGTCAAGTCAAGTTAAAAAGACACACAAGAAAGACACATAAATCTGTAAAACATATACCTCTCTAGAAATAAAAAGAAAATGTATAAAACCCTATATAAAGGGAAACTGAGAGCATTGTAAATTGCACAAAACCCTATATAGAAGTGTAAATTGCACTGTAAATTGCACAGGTATATTGCACAGGCCCAGGAGACAATATAATATAATATGATATGTTATGAGGAAGGTCAGGATATCCGTTCATTTTGTTTTGGCAAAGAGTCTCACTGTGGCAGGGAAGAAGCTCTTAAAAAAGCGTGTTCTGTTTGTGGTGATGCTGTCCGCTCATCTGTGCCTGAGGTTGTATGTGCAGTTTTTGTGTTTGAGCAAGGAGTGAGCTGGATGTAGTGTGTCTGTGATGATTCTCTCTGCTCTTTTTTGACAGCGCTGTGTATAGATTTTGTCCATGGAGGGGAGTTACGTTCTGATAATCCTCTCTGCAGTCTTTATGACTCTCTGCAGAGCCTTCCTCTCTGTCTGTGTGGTGTTTCCGTACCAGACAGTGATGCCTGTGGTGAGGACGCTCTCTATCAGTCCTTTGTAGACCTGGGTGAGAGTGCGACAGTGCAGACCAGCTTTTCTGAGCAGCCTGATGAAATACAGTCTCTGCTGGGCTTTTTTCCAGTTCAGATCTGATGTTACTTGTGTCCCAGTAATCTGTAACTGTCAGCCCTCTCCACCTCAGTCCCCTTGATGATGAGGGGGGGTGGATTTTTTCTGAAGTCCATTATTATTTCTCTTGTCTCGTCTGTGTTGAGGCTTAGGTCATTCACCTCACCTTGATGAGGCCCAGGATGGTGGTATCATCCACATACTTAATGATGATGGTATTGTCCTTGGTGGAGACACAGTCGTGTGTGTACAGGGTGAGGAGTTTAGGACGGAGACAGCAGCCTTGTGGTGATACTGTGCTGATGGTGAGCTCTGCAGACACCCTCCTTCCCATCCTCACCACCTGTGGTCTTTCAGTCAGGAAATCCAAGATCCAGTTACAGGTGGGAGTTGGGACGCCGAGGTCTGTCAGCTTCTCAGTCAGCCTGCCCGGGCGGATGGTGTTAAAAGCAGAACTGTAATCCAGGAACAGCCTTCTGACGTATGTTCCTCTGCTGTCCAGGTGTTGCAGGATGTGGTGTAGAGCAATGGCCACTGCGTCATCCACTGAGCGGTTGGGGCGGTAGGCGAACTGGAGGGGGTCGATCGTGCCCAGGACCATGTGATTGATGTGTGTGAGAACCAGTTTTTCTAGACATGAGTGCCACTGGCCTGAAGTCATTCAGGGTGGATGGATTTGTTTTTTCTGGAACTGGTGCAATGGTGAAAGATTTAAAAATACAGGGGACTACTGCTTGGTTTAAAGTCAGATTGAAGATGTGGGGTTTTGGTTCAGCTGTAAAAGCATTTCTGATATTACTGTAGCAGTGGTCCAGTATCTTATTTTCTCTAGTTCAGAAAGTCACAAACTGATACAGTCTTGGTATGTTCTTCTTGAGGTTGCAATGATTAAAGTCTGTCAGAATAATAAAAGCAGCATCAGGATATTTGTTTTCATGCTCATTGATCATGTCTTGTAGCTCCCTAAGTGCTGCCTCTTCTTTGGCGGAGGGGGGAATATACACAACACTCACAATAATACATTGCAGTTCTCTGGGTAAATAAAATGGCTGCAGCTTCAATAAATATATGTATATATGTGTGTGTATATGTGTGTATATATGTGTATATATGTATGTATATGTGTGTATATGTGTATATATGTATATATGTGTGTGTATATGTGTGTATATATGTGTATATGTGTGTATATGTGTATATATGTATATATGTGTGTATATGTGTATGTATATGTGTGTATATATGTATATATGTGTATATGTGTATATGTGTATATATGTGTATATGTTTATATGTGTATATGCGTGTATATATGTATATATGTTTATATATGTATATATGTGTATATGTGTGTATATGTGTATATATGTGTATATATGTATATATGTGTGTATATGTGTATGTATATGTGTGTATATATGTATATATATGTGTGTATATGTGTATGTATATGTGTGTATATATGTATATATGTGTGTATATGTGTATATGTGTATATGTGTATGTATATGCGTGTATAAAAAAAACAAAAAACTTCCCTCTCACCCTCTTGGGGTGGTATCTGTGTCATCCTCAAGCTCGGGTCCTCTACCAGAGGCCTGGGAGTTTGAGGGTTCTGCGCAGTATCTAGCTGTTTCTAGGACTGCGCTCTTCTGGACTGAGGCTTCTGATGTTGTTCCTGGGATCTGTTGGAGCCACTCCCCCAGTTGGGGGGTCACAGCCCCGAGTGCTCCTACTACCACGGGGATCACGCTCGCCTTGACCTTCCACATCTGCTCCAGCGGTTCTTTCAACCCTTGGTACTTTTCAACCTTTTCGTGTTCCCTCTTTCTGATGTTGGCGTCTGCTGGTATGGCCACATCTATCACCACTGCTTTCTTCTGCTCCTTGTCTACCACCACTATGTCTGGTTGGTTGGCCAGGACCTGTTTGTCAGTCTGGAAGCTGAAGTCCCACAGCACCTTGGCCCTGTTGTTCTCAGCCACCTTCTGTGGTTCGGCCCATTGGGATTTGGGTTCTTCTATTCCATACTGGGTACAGATGTTCCTGTACACTATTCCAGCCACTTGGTTGTGTCTCTCCATGTACGCTGAACCGGCTAGCATCTTACACCCTGCTACTATGTGCTGGACTGTCTCAGAGGCATCTTTGCATAGTCTGCACCTTGGGTCAGATCTACTCTTGTAGATCTTGGCCTCTATGGCTCTTGTACCTAGGGCCTGTTCTTGTGCGACCATGATCAGTGCCTCTGTGC